AAAAAATCCTGTCAAGATTTTGACTGGGATTGTGTTGAATCTATAGATCAGTTTAAGAAAAATAAATATAATAACTATTGAGTAATATAACCCTTGAACACAGTATAGCACTCAATTTAATTAAGTATTCCTTGATTTTTTTTCAGTATATAGATCTTGCACATATTTTGTTAGATTAATATCAAGGTGTTTCATGGTTTTATTTTTTAAATTTATATTTCCAGTTTTTCATTTATAGTATATAAAAACATAAAATGATTTTTATATCTTGACCTTATTTCTCTCTCTTTCTAAACTCTTTAGATTTAGGGTGTTTTTTGTAGCTTCATTAGGATTTTCTATGTAGAAAATTATGTCATCTGTGAATAGACATATCCAGTTTTACTTTTTACTTTCCATTCTATATGCCTTTTATTTCTTTTTTCTTCTGTTCTTCTGGACCTCCAGTATGATGAGGAATAGGAATGGTGAGAATAGACACCTTGCCTCATTCCCAATTTTAGGGCAAAAGCATTCAGCCTTTCATCATTAATTATGAAGTGATCTCTAGGCTTTAGTGTAGATGTTCTTTGGCAAGTTAAGTAATTTCTCTCCTATTCCTAATTTGCTGAGCTTTTTTCTCCCCCTAATCATGAAAATCATGAATAAATTTTGGATTTTGTCAAATACTTTTTCTTCATCTATAATTTTCTTTAGTTTTTTGATATGATAAGTTTCAGTGTTGAACTAGTCTTGCATTATAGAATAAGCCACATTTGGTTGTAACATATTATCCTTTTTATATATTGCGGTGTTTGTAACATTTATTTTACAAATAATAATTGAAATACATGTTACTACTTATTTCTAAATCCTAGAACGCTTTTAAAAATCATGAGTCGGTTGTTTATTCTGTTAACAAATATCTGACAATTATTGCGTATCAGGTATTGTTTTACATGCTAGAGATTAGAATATTGGACAGAAAGAGGTCTGCCCTTAAGTTGTTTATGTGATATGGAGATAGTCAGAAGTGGTAGAGTTTATAACAATCAGGATATATTGTTACACACAATGGTTATATATTTAAATAATTTAAATGCTTTTATGTTTTATGATAACGTAATGTAACCTTTTTTTATTTACAAGAGATATATCTATTTTCATGAGTTTCTTTTGGCTTCAGAGTAGAGAGACTTACAGGCTAGAATTTTTTACAAGGATACACTCGGAATAGAATACAGAAGAACTTCATATAAATCCTAGACTGGGAACTGTGATGTAGCTGGGCCTTCCAGAGACTAGAACCCAAAAGTCTTCATACCTAACAATATTAGTTATCTATTGCTATGTAACAAATTACCCCCAAATTTAATGGCTTAAAGCAGCAGTCCCCAACCACTTTGGCACCAGAGACCAGTGCTCCTATGAGAATCTAATGCCTGATGATCTAAGGTGGAGCCGAGGTGGTGATGTTAGTGCCAGAGAGCAGTTGCAAATACAGATGAAGTTTTGCTTGCTAGCCCACCACTCACCTCCTGCTATGCAGCCAAGTTCCTAACAGGCTGCAGACCAGTACTGGTTCGCAGCCTGGGAGTTGGGGACCCTGGCTTAAAGCATTTATTTTTCAGTTTCCCTGGGTCAGAAATTCAGGCATGGCTTGGCTGGGTACCTCTGGCTCAAGGTTTCTCAGCAGGGCTGCAATCAAGGTGTTGGCTCAGGCTTCAGTCATCTGAAGGTTTCATTGGGAAAGATTCTGCTTCTCAGTTCACTCACAGGGCTTTTTGGCAGGTCATTGCTATCTGTTGGCTGGAGACAGTTTTTCGCTTTGTGGGTTTTCCAGCTCACAATATGGTGGCTGACATCTCTGAAGGAGAGTGAGTGACAAAATGGAAGCCATGTCACTTTGTCACCTAATTTTGGAAGTGACATCCTATCACCTCTGCTGCATTCTCTTTGCTAAAACAAGTCACTAAATCCAGTCCAAATTCAAGAGGAGAGGATTACACAAGGGCATGAAATACCAGGAGATGGGGATTATTAAAATCATTTTAGAAGCTGCCTATCATGCCAAGTAAGCCCTAGATATCTCACCAGTTTTTTTGTGTGTGTGTTTTAGTCTTGTTCTCTACCATAAATATGCCCTTGCCACTCTAAATATACATTTTTTTCCCCTTTTTGCTACCAACTCTAGTTCTTAACAATTAACCTGTGTATATTTGCTCTACCTCATTTTTAGGTTTTCCTTATCCTTAGTTTTTCCAGGGCCTGAGACGAACTGTACTGCCTCATGGTATTTCATCTCTGCCCCTGCTGCTAGCCACTTCAAGCATATCCTTAACACTCTCTTCAAATTTTTGAGTGGGAGTAGATGGGTAGGGAGGGGATATAGTATCTTTTGAATATGACTACTTCATCAGCAAGAACTGTGATTAACGCACTTTCTCTTAGCAATGTAGTTATCTAAATACTATCATAGATGTTTATAGATTAGAAGACATAGGTCATTGAGTTGATCAAATGACATTGAATTCTTAAAAATAATTTCCTGGTATTAGTAGCTTTTTTAATAATTATTTTTCTATTTCTCATAAAAGAGTATAAAATATCCACTAAAACCCCAATAATCTGTTCATTTTTGTTTTTCTCGTTTTGGGGATTTAGGGTAAATGAAAATCTGTTACATGTAAGATTTATTATTTTTGAGATATATAAAAGTATATACATTTTGACACATACAGAACTTGGAGAGAGGCTTACACAGACATACCTACATTTTTTGAAACAGTAAAGTATAAAAAAGGCAAACATTTTTTATCACAGAATTAACAACCATTAACATTGGTTTATTTTACATTTAGTGTTTTTCCTCTAAGTAATAAAATTTTGTAGTTAAAATTTTCTTAAACTACTACTCTTACTTTTGTTTCATGGAACTTTCCAGTTGCAACTACTGTTAAAAGTTTAGTGGATATTTTTCTGGTTTGTTTTTCAGTCTTGTAAACAGTTAAATAGACATACATATGTATGTATATATATATATATGGTATAGACATACATATGTATGTGTATATATATATATGGTAGGTATGGTTTTGTGTTTGTATTTTATTTACATGGTACCATTCTATATGTATTCTGCACTGTTCTTTTTTTTTTAACTACATACTGTTTTTGATGTTTGTCCATATTGTACATATAAATCTAAGTCATTCTTTTTAACTGCTATATAATATTACATCATGTTTTATTATCCATTCTCTTATTGTTAGGCATTTAGGTTGCTTTGAAAGGATGTTTTGCTATTACAAACACTACTCTCCAGTGCGCCTGTGAGAGACACATTTTCTACATTGTTATCACACTACTGAGTCAATTTATACAGTCCAAATAGATGTGAGCAATCCTGTTTACTCACATTCCCATAAGTGACATTTTCAAACTTAAAATCTTATTTTCAATTTGGTGCTTGGAAAACTGGTCTCTTGCTTTATTAATCTACATTTCTTTCATTATTGATGAGATTGAGTATATGTTTAATGACCATTTGGATGTCATCATCTGTGAAATGCCTGACTACTCTATTTTTGCCCATTTATAGGAGTTCTTTATGTATTCTGGATACTATTTCTTTGTCTATTATATGTCACAGATATCTTCTAGTCTATCACTTGCTTTTAACTCTCTATTTTTTAATTGCATAGAAATTTTTGTGCCTTTTGAACATTCTTGCTAATCTTTGCAAAGAATTAGGTTTTTGGTTTTGCGTTTTTAAACAGGAATTAAGGTTGTACAGTTATAGCTGGCACATTGTATGGGGACATAAAATATGAGAGTGTGGCCATTTAAATGACTTTACTGTCATGTGTTGGAACGAAAGTTATGAAATCATAATTCCTAAGAGTTTTCAAAAACGTTATTGGTAGAAAATTTTTTCACTAACTAGTCGGTCTTTATAATTTCTAATGGGTACTGAATTTTTCTGTTTCAGAGCATATCATATAGTTTTGTATTTTTTCTTTTCATAAAATACACAATTAAATTTGTTAATATGCAGTTAATCCTTAGTGGTTATCTGTAACAGTTCTATTTTCCAGGCAGAAGTAATAGCCTCTATTACGATAACTGACAACTATTCGTTTATGAAAAAAGAAAAAAATTATTGCTGATGCTTTTTCAGGATAAAATTTTTTGCACGTTGCAGATGAGGCGAGTTTTTTCACTGTCACATTATTTTTAACAGCTATGAAGTTACATACTTTTTTATTTGTAGGTGAATTCACTTACATCTTACATTTTTAGTATATTTTAGTTTTTGTTATTAATACCATTCAGATCGTGAAGTTTAAATTGAGCAATTTGTTATATTTTTTAAAGATAAGTAATTTTTATTCTGGGCTGAAAGTCTGGGATCGAATCACATTTCCAAATATGATTCCCAGATTCCAGATTGGGATCTTTTTCTTTTTACTCTATCTAAACATTATTTAAAAATGGCATCTTGAGTTGTACAGTTGAGCCTTGAACAACAAGGATTTGAACTGCATGGGTCCACTTATACATAGATTTTTTTTTTAATTGATACTGTAAATACTGTATTTCCTTCTGATTTTCTAAATAACATTTTTTTCTCTAGTGTAAGAATACATATGATATACAAAATATATGTGAATCAACTTTGGGGGAATCAAAAGTCGTATGAGGATTTTTGACTGTGACAGGTTGGTTCCCCTAACCCCTGCGTTGTGCAAGGGTCAGCTGTATTTACATCCACAAGTATTTGTCTAACACTTATTGTGCTAGATAGTGTGAAACTTTGGAGTTTTGAGTATTAGACCCACAGTTAGAGTGTAAGATTTAAGTGAATTCACCTGCTCTTTCCTAGTGTTAGGAGTTGGGAAATAAAGGAGTTTGGTTTTGTTCACATTTCAATCAAACATTAAACATGTTGCCCTTGGAAAATGTATAAGCATAAACCATTTTTTCTAGATATTTGATTGTTTATTTTTACATTATTTTAGGTTTCCAGTAATTATCTGGTGGATTCGCCATGACCCCAGCTCTGAGGGAGGCAGCAACAAAGGGTATCTGCTTTTCATCTTTACCAAGTACCATGGAGTCTGACAAGATGCTATGCATGGAGAGTCCAAGAACTGTAGATGAAAAACTAAAGGGAGACACTTTCTCTCAGATGCTGGGATTTCCAACTCCCGAACCTACTCTTAACACTAATTTTGTGAATTTAAAACATTTTGGCTCTCCTCAGTCTTCAAAACATTATCAGACAGTTCTTTTAATGACTTCTAATTCTACATTAAATAAATACAATGAGAATTATAAACAAAAGAAATTAGGGGAGCCCAATTGCAATAAACTGAAAAACATACTGTGTAATGGCAGCAACATTCAGCTCACTAAAATCTGTCATTCTCATTCTGAAGAGTTCATCAAAAAGGAATCTCTGTCAGATACCACAAGCCAGTGCATGACAGATGTAAAAATTATTTTGGATTCAAATATAACCAAAGACATTAATATAGATAAAGTACAACTACAAAATTGTAAATGGTACCAAAAGAATGCACTTTTGGATACAGTTACTGATGCTGAGAGTAAAAAGGGTTTGTTGCACTGCGCTCAAAAGAAAATGGGGCCTGGCCATTCTGATGCGCTTATTAGTTCTTCAGCTGCTGTAAAAGAGGAGGAAGTGAATGCTCGTTTACTTCATTGTATAAGCAAACAGAAAATTTTACTTCGCCAGGCTAGAAGAACTCAGAAACATTTGCAAATGTGCCTGGCAAAGCATGTTGTTAAACACTATGATCAGCAAATGAAATTTTCTATGAAACATCAACTCCCTAAAATGAAGATCTTTCATGAACCTACCACAATTTTGGATAACAGTTTACCTAAATGCACTGAAATTAAGCCAGACATCAACTTATTGACTGCAGAGAAATTGTGGAATGATGCAAAAAATGGCTTTGCACGGTATACAGCTGCAGAAATACAAAGATTTGCACTGTCTGCTACAGGGCTGTTGTCTCATGTTGAAGAGGGTCTGGATTCTGATGCAACTGATAGCAGCTCTGATGATGATTTGGATGAATATACCATTAGAAAAAATGTGGCAGTGTAAGTGCAAAATTATTATTAGACCTTTTACTGTTCTGTATATAGCAGCAATTTTGTCTTGATTTTAAGATATGTTAGATGGAAATAGATTTTCTAAAATCTTAATGCCATAATCTTTAAGTTATAGAACTAGTAAATTTTTTAAATGTTTCATTTGTTAATCTACCATGTGTGAATATATATATACGATTTAAAAATAAGTTACCCAACTGCTCTATCTAGGAAAAACCAATACAAGATTAATAAAAGCTAATTAGCTATAAGTAAGCATTTTTCCTATTCTTGAATATAATAGGTTATGGACAAGGCCTAAATTTTTGCCTAAATAATCTAGCCAATATGTGTATTGGCTAGATTGTATCTCAAAAAACAAAGTCTCACATAGGGAGCCTTCATTGACTTCAGGAGTTTATCAGTTGAGAGTACATATAGGTTGACCTGCTACATTCTATTTTTATTTTTAACTATTTACATACTCTTAGTCATAGCTTTCAGCTCTGGTCTTTACTAAGTCAATTTTTGCTAGATTAATGTAGCCAAAACAAAACCATAATATCAGCTATTAGATACATGTTGAATACTTATTATGTGCTGGACCCTAGAGATTCCGTTGTGGGCTAAATATTCACAGACTCTACCCTCTTGGGAATGTACTTCGAAGAGAGGTTTCTAGATATTAAAAACAAAACAAAAACACAAAAATAGTTTTACTTATTATATTAACATTCCAGAACAGCTCTATATGATAGAAGTTTCTGAGATGATGGAATGTTCTGTCTCTATGCTATCCAGTAGGCACTAGCCTCATGTGGCTATTGAACAGTTGAAATGTGGCCAGTGCAACTGAGGAACTAAAATTTTAATTTTATTTAATTTGAATTTTATTTAAATAGTGAGATAGAACATAGTTAATAGCATTCAGGGAGTATGTTAATGTCCTTCAATTGATGCAAAATACTGTATGCGTATATGGTATTTTGAGAGGAAAAATCTATTTTTATCAAATTATAAATGAGTATCAAAATTAGAAGATGAACATGTTACTTTTTACTAATAAATTGAACAGTATATTTTTATAGTAAGGAATAAAATGTAAAGCAAAGTGAGCATTCCAGTCTTTTGGTGTTCTGTTATCACTATATTTGAAATTTGTTTGAAGATGAGACCTAATAGTTACTGAGCACATGTTATTTTTCTGAATGACATTGTGCTATTTACATATGATATTTTATCCTTTCAGCAACCATGAGAGGTAATTGTTGTTATCCTCATTTCATTTAAAAAGAAACAGGTTCAGCTTGATTAAGTAACTTGCCCATGGACAAAAAGCCAAATAAATGGTGGAGCTAGGTTTCTTGCTCACGTATATGAGACTTTTAAGTCCATGCTTTTTCTGTTGGACTGTGCAGCTTTGTCAATGTTGTATCATTGATGATGATAGCCACAAGAATTATCAAGCACATGTGCACTGAAAAAGGTCCATCAATTTTTATATTTATAATTCTTTTGAAGTAATTAAAGTTTATCAAATTTAGTAGGTAAATTTAGTACATTATTTACTTTTTTGTTGTAGTCAAGAATAGCTAATGGATAGGTTTACCTATTCTAAGCTAGAAACAAATAAGTCATGTCTTTCTAGACTATTTTGACCTTTATTAGCATTCTCCTTCATTGCTTTCCTACAGCATTTAATATGCCATACTATTTATCATCAAAATATATTTGTCCTATATAATTTGCTAATATATCTCTTAATAACCCAGTACCTAGTAAGGGTGGAAACTACATTTTGTACTTTTAAAAAATCTCACATGTCAAGCAAATAATTACTAATAGGTCAAACATTTTTTAAGATGAGCATTTACCCCTTGAATTTAGTGAGAGAACACTAAGTTCAGACATTTATATAAAACGTACACAAATGAAGAATTTCAAACTATTGAAAAAAATTTTATACAAAGCATCAAGCAATATCTTCTCATTTTTTTTTTTTTCTCCACGTTAACTTTGCCAATTTATTGAGGAAAATTGAAGTAAAGTAGCCTGGAAAGAAATTGGATTCAAGCTTGGAAAGTTTATTTTTCATTCTTTTTTTTTCCTTCCCCCCCATAATCAACTGGAAGTGCTTCAGGGTTGCTAGACATACATTTTAGGAAAATAATGAATTTATAGAGTTTAATATTCAAGATACACATCTAGCTTTTTGCATTCCTGGCCACTTAATATTATGATGCCTCGGTTATTAAAGCTCGTATTTATATTTCTAGAAGTCAGATACATTTTGTTCTAAGGTTACACTCATCTGATCAACTCAAATCACTAATACTAAGTTTATAGAATAACTTTTTGAAATCTTTAATTCACTGATTATTTGATAATTTTTCAGGCTTCTTTGTTTTTTGCTATTTGAACTCTAACATTTCCTGATTTCTTTTTATATAACACCAAAAATTGAATATTAAATTCTGTTTGTTTTGAATATTTTTACTAATGCTAATAGATTCCTTGTATGTAGGAACAGTCGTTTCTCAACATTTTACTAATTTTGATTAGACCGAATTTTGAGAACAAATAATAATTTTAATTATTTATATCTTTTGATGTGAGTATAAAATTGATTTCTTAATTTGTTATTTAAATTGAAATTAGTTATGTTTCAGGTTGTTAAGTTCATTTTATAATTTAAAACATCCTGATAAGGTTTTTTTTGTTTTTTTTTTTTTTCTTCTTTACATTTTCTTCTTACATTTCTGGAAACTCACTTTTCAAATGTAGATGAATATTTTTAATACATATAATAATAGTTCAGAATTAAACAAATGTAAAATAGGTAAATTAAATTTTCATTATCTCTATTGAATATAAATAGACTTCTCAACTTAAATCGTAAGGTCTACAGTGTCAAATAGTAAAGTTGATTTTAATTTTAAACAACTTAAGGGCAAGTATTACTTTTTTTTGTATTGTATATATACCCTCTGCCTAGCATTGTCTACTTTTTAGTGCTTGTTTTGTATTTGTTGAGTGAATAAATGAATATTTCTGTATTTGTATATGTAGTTGGAAAGATACAAAAATTGGGGTTGACAATCCATTAAATTTCTCTATGTTTTCTTCAATTCTGTAGTTTAATCTTTACTTGATTTCCCTGCCCTTTCTTGCTTTGTCTCTAGTACCAAACTAACACAAGATGTGTCTTGTACAATTTAGAACCAGCATGAGTGTGTGTTCAATAATGAAATATACAAAAGTATGGACATTTAATAGTAATTATTTAACATTTGCAACTTTTAAAAGTTAATAAGTAAAATGTATTATATTTATCTCTAAAATCTTAGATTATATTATAAAAGCCTTTTCTTTTTTTCTTTCTTTCATTTTCTTCTTTTAAGTTTATAGCCCTGTAAAAAAAAAAAAAACAAATTCCTTCACTCTGACTAGGGAGTTTAGCTGTAAAGGAATATGATTGTTTTAGGAAATTGGAAAGCACTCACATTCACCATTACCTTTGTTATTTTAAATATGTATTTTACTTGCCCCTTTTTCTTTCCTTCCAAAAATACAGGCAGTAGATTAATTGAAAACGCCATTATTGATATACTTGAAAAATAACTTGGTTCAGAGACTAGTATGCATTAGAAAAATGTTTTAAAGTTAATTTCATTTGGAAAGAAACAGAATTTTTTTGTAGGTTTGAGATATAATCTTTATAACATGAATGGGACACCCACCCCCACTTCAGCTGCACTGTTCTCTGTTCCTTTGGTGAAGGAGCAGAGGTTCTGGGTATACTAGTATTAAAATCATAGCTTACTCGTGACCCTGAACAAAGGTTAAAGTTATTTTTAACCCCCTGAATTAGATTATTCTTTGGTCTAACTTAGATTCTGGAGATAATTAGATGAAATATTATATATGAAGTACCTATTCATAATAGTGCACTGATTTGGCAGCAATTAAAGAGTGTCTTATCAAGCAGTTTACTACAGTGGAAGACTAGAGTTTAATATTCCATGAGAAACTTGGGAAGCCAGTATAAAATACACACCTAAGTTAACCCATTTGTGAGGTGAAGCAGCTGGAATACTTGTGCATTAAATCCCATTAGTTAAGGTTGTTCCTGGTTGTGTTAATTCCCTTGCACTTCTGTTCTGCCACTTGGGTGACAAAGCAGGCTCAAGGAACAACAAAAACAACCTCAAAGAAATGCAGGTGCTGACACTTGGAAGTCAGATCTGTGTGTGCTGAGCTGGTAAGTGAGGGGATGTGGATGGGTGACTGATAGACTGCTACAATTATTTTACCTCTCTTCTGGTTGTAAACTTTAGAGTTCTAGCATTTCTTTTGTTCTGGGAAATGACATAAGTTACTTTTGGGAATTATGTAGAAAAACACACAGATTTTGACACAGAAAAATATAGTTCTTTGTCTTATTCAAGGAAACTTGCCAGTGTTTTCCAAGTCATACAGCCGTCTTGGCTGTTGGGAGAAAGACTCCACATCATTTCCCCAAATTAGTTCTCATATGTTTTTTCTTTAAGTTTTTTACTTTGGTATGTAAATAGTCTTGTTGAGGAAATTCTTTTAAACAAAATGAGACATTTACCGAGAAATAATTGTTGTTTAGTTATAAGCTGCCAGGTGAATCTTTCCAGATTGAAAGAGCTAATTTCTTCCAGACCTACGGAAATGAGTACTCATAGTTTTCTTTACACTTTCCTATTTTGCCAGTAGAAAGGAAAAGACGTAAAAACCAGGTAATGAATTTCCTTTTGAGAAACTGGATAAAGAACAGTATGAACTCAGTATGACATTGAGAGAGTAAAGAGACTAAGGGCATTTCATTAATAAATTGAAAATAAGAGTACCTTTATATTTGTATAATATGAAGTTGACAAATTGTTTTGCATTCATTATCTTTTAAATTTTCTCCACTTTGGAAATAGATGAGCAAGTCTGATTTTGTTATCTTTTGCTTATATAGGGAACAAAGAAAAAGT